TGTATTTTTGTTCTCTCTCAAGTCACACTTCATGTGTTTCTTGATAGTTTTGGATCTGACGCATAGCCTGCTGAAATCATAGGAGGAGTCTTTCATATGACATGAGTTTGGTTTGGACAAAAATATTTGAACCTGAATTCCTGAAGGAGGAAATCTTACTTTCCTATGTTAGGTTAGTACCTAACAGAGCTTGCTAGGGCCAGAATATGCAAAGTAAAATGAAACAATTAAAAAGAACTATGAATTTGAAGACAGAAGTCTAAAGAAGATTGTTGGCTGTTTCTCTATAATCTGCTAGAAAGTCTTTATTTTTTCTTTTTTCCCCCCATAATGTAAGGCTTTGCTACTGGTGATGCCATTTGTTTCTGGTGGCTTTGTAATGTAGCTAGGCTTTACAAGAAGAGAAGGGCTCCAGGGCTTTTTGCAGTTTCAGCACTTTTCCCCTCTTTTCTCCAGCATTTCCTTTTATTCAGGCCAGGAATTCACTTTGGATGATCCTTCTGCAAATCTTGCCACTGGCTCTAATTAATAACCTGCTTCTAGAAATTCCACTCATTGTCTTCGGGTTTTGGGTTTTTTGTGTGATTTAAGAGGCTGTTCAGGATAATTACTGTCTTTAAAGTTTTATGAATCACAGTGTTTGACATCTTTGATGTTGATTGATTTTCAGAAAAACACACTTTTTGTTCTAATGTTCAATTTGTCACTGTTACTTACAAACAAATAAGAGATTTAAAACCCCAAAGATGCAGATGTTCTTTAGCTTTGTTGCCATCTGTTTGCCTGCCTACTGGATTCCAAGACTAACACTTGTGAATTTTAATGAAGCCACATTTATATAATATATAATAGAATAGAAAATACACACAACATCAAGTCTTTTAATATATGTTGATTTTTAAATCACTTGCTCATAGAGCAATATTTTTTTCTGATGGCTTTTATTTTCATGATAACCATCTTTAACTAGAGGGTCTGAAAAACCTGTTGTTTTGCTCAGTTATGCACAAATTGGAGATCAGAAAACTAAGATTTCCATGGAAATCTCCTTAGAAAGGCATATAGCATGACCTTAATTTACTTCACAAATTTTACACCATGATATTTATGCAGCATTCTTCCTGGATGTCAGAAGGCCATACGCTTACCTGTGCTCATTGAAGTTGTACATCAGATACCTGAATTCTTAGTGTAGTTTGGTAGAAAACTGCTTTCTCACTCCAATGAATTATTTTTTTTAGAACCGACTCATTGGAAAGGGTTTAAATTTTAAGATTTCTGTAGAGTAAAAGTCTGTCTCATTTATTAAAATCAGATTGGATTACCTCCCCATTTAGCTAACTTCTGTGTTTAAATCTTTGTGATATTTTTGGTAATATTTCCACAACAGCTGACAGATTGAACTGCCCACTTTCTAGTTGGCAATTATCTAAATCTCTAACTCAGACAAACGTAAGTAAACAACCAAGCACTTCTTTATATTAAAAAGAAGGTATTTCAGGTGGAAGTGTTGGTATCTGTTATAACCTGTGAGATTACAAAGCAGTAAGTGCTAATTAAACCTTTATTTATATTCAAAAAGAAATATGCAGTCTTAAGTGCCTTCATCTGTACTGTAGCAAAGTTTATAGTAAACACTGCTAATCCACTGTACTTAGAAGTGATATTTTGAGAGATAAGATTTCAGATACCCGTGGCTGCTCATTTGTTACAAGTAGATTAGCCATATTTTTGGAATGAAAGGCTTGCTTATGCTGCCTTCCCCTTCTCTGAGCACTTAAATTTATCTTGTCTTGTCTCTTCTCTCTTGTCGCATATATAAAGGATATTAAGCATTCTTTGTCTTCAGTACCTGTATCTCTTGTCTAAAATAATTTCAGTGCCTCCAGTTTACCACACACTTCCAGCAGGGTTGGGGCAAATCTTTGCTTGGTGCAAATTAATCCAGCAGTTTTCTCAGGGTTCTGTACCTTTGTGTTAAATCTTTATGTTCCCCTGTGCACTGTCTTGGCCGCTGCTTTGGTGATTTTTCTCTCTTCTATTGATTTTTTTACTTATCCACTGACTACCTAGCCTATACACCTTAATATGTTAATGTCATGCTCTACATCCACCTCACACCATTTCAGCATGTTAGTGAATCATTACAAACCAATATTACTGAATAAACTTCTCACAGAACAGACTATTTTTTTATTGTGCCAACCCAGTCTCAAAAAGATTTGGGGCCAATATATCCTTTGTTCAACCTCTCAGAGGCCAATGATCATGAACTATGATGGTCCAAGGAATTTGCAGCAGAGTAGACAGATATGATGCAAAGACATGTCAAAGACTGACCTAATGTGCACTAAAAAAATAGTTTTAGGAAGGAATGAGTGCACTTTCTTCAAAAAAATTGAGATTTCCAGAGCTTAGTAAGACAATAACTACTTAAGAGTCCAGAAACAAAAATATGCCTATGTTATTAATAGTTCTGGAACCTCCTGGGCCTGAGCTGACCTAATTCTATCTGTATATAAAATCGCCACATCCAAAATGACTTTTTTCATTCACCCATGGCAGTAGGAAGAAGCATGTTGGAGGGTATGTCAGCACATTAGATGTGCAGGTCCCTAAACCAGTGAAAGGTCTTTTCAGTCTCTCCATTTCTGCACCATAAATTTTTCATTCTCTGGCTTCAGAAGGACTTGGTAGATGATGGAGTGCTGGCTCGTCATTGAATTCCTCTTTGCCTCTTTTTAAACTGTACAATTTTATTGGCAACTTTTGGATATGTAAGACAAACTTAGTGAATGTCTGTTCTAATGTGTCTTAAATTCAAGTAGCATGGTTAATGTTGTGTCCTGGCTTGAGAATGAGGAATTATGGATACATCTTAAATCCAGTGGGATCTTTAAAGCACGTAGCACTTGTTAAGACCACTTCTTTTGAACACAGTATTTGGTTTTCACTACTCTTTAGGAATTCACTGGAACTACTGATATATTTAAAAATAGCATTCGCGAAAATGCTCCACTGGATCACAACTAAAGGCTAGTAAAGCACAACTACATATTTTCCCATCTCTTGCAGAAGCTGAATGCCAGGAGCAGAAGCTAGACCAGGGTGATTTTTCCATTCCAGCCCCATCACATCTTGCTTCCTCCCATTTCTGGTCCTAGTCAGGCAGTTAGAGACATCTCAGAGTCCTGTCATGCTGCACCGCATCCACCAGAAATCAAAGTGGAAGCCCTGCAATGTGAGAATTGCTTGGCTAATCCAAATTGCCAGAGGAAGAAAAAGCTTAACACTTGCTTTTTAAGATTATTTGTTGCCTCTTTGTAATTGTTTGGTTTTAATTACAGCACAAGGTTTGTCTGCTATGCCTTTGAACAGAACACACACATGCAGAGCTTCTTTTTGCTATTTGCTTCAGGCTGCTAATTTTGACACCTTTGTAATATATCTGTTGGCTAGATGCAAAGCTTCAGGCTTGGCAGGACCTCAGGAAATCAAGAGAGGAGGTAGCAATTCTTGTAAGAACAGGAGCTCCAAAGGCTATAGATTAACAGGAATAATTTCCAACTGAGCAAGCCTATTTGAAAGTAGCAAGTATATGAAAAGGGAAAACAGGTAGAGTGTATTGCCAGAGAAGTGTTACTCCTTGTGAAGTGAATTTCAGCACTTAAAGCCATCTTTCTGAATGTCTGTAATATTTATGATACAGCCCTGAAGGGCCAAATACAATCTATGGAAATACCATGTAATTTTTACCACCCAATGTTTCCTACTGGCTGGTTCTATACCGTCAGTGTTACAAAGCCAATTAGCAAAAACAATGATTTCTCCTAATGAATCTGGAGGGAATGAATATTTATGACCAATTTTCTGGTGCTTAAATTTACAGCAGAGATCCCTTAAGCTTCAGAGTTTATAAATTAAAAGAGGTGGGCACCTTCAATGGGGTAATTCAGAACCTATAGTTTTGAGACTACCATTGGTGATAAAATTTCTCTTAAGTGTTTGAATTGTTGGTTCTTGCTGGAATATCATTGCCCTTACAGTTTTCAGTATAAAAAACCTGGGGCCTAAATAGCCTTGCAGAACATAAATAGATCTGTTATTTGGAGCCAAAGGGGACAGATAAATGTATTTAGATTTTTCATGTACTCATTGGAAAGAGGTAAACTCCCAAGCAAACTCCTTGTTACAGCTTTTTAAAATTTGAAATTTTCCTCTAAGATAGATTCTCCCAACATCCCTCTACTAATCGAAGTCAGTAGAAGGACACCTGCCCTTCAGAAGGTTAATTCAAATTTCAAGTGATCTTTTATTAATTTTTTTCTTTATCTAGTGAATAAAGGAAATTTGGATGAGTATGCTAGTATCTTGCAAATCTAAAATAAAATAAATGAAAAACCCTTTTGTGGAGGATAGACTGACATTTCCATAACAATTATTATTAAAATAATATGACTGGTTTTCCATGGAATGCATATCTTTCTATACTATGTACTCAAAACAAAGAGTGCAGTATTTACATTACAAGAACTGCTGATGAATATGTTTTTTTCTTTTTTGAGAAATCTATCCGAAATGTTCTGTATTATTATTGGGTTTGAAAAGAATTCTTAAGGAACAACTGATTGCAAAAATTAGCATAACAGGGAACAAGAAACCACAGGTTATAGACATATGTTTTCACAGCATTCCAACTGCAGAGCTGGTGAGAGAACTTTGTGAACATATTTGGGTAAAATTAGGAAATTTAGTTGCCTGCTCTCTGAGCTGTGAAATGACTGCTGGAGCTACTGATTAACATGCTGCCCTACACTGGTTCTAGGAAAAAAAAAAAAACAACAAAAAAAACCACCATAAAAAGACATTATAGCTGTTGTGATAAGATCAAACTGCGGAATCGAACTGAAGAATCACAATCAATACTGTGCTACCATCGAATATAATATGTTAAAACTGTTCTTATTTGTTTAATACCTAATTTTTTTTTTATTTATTAGAATGATATGGGAGGTCAAAGGAGCCTAATAAACAAGTGGACTACTTTTCTGAAAGCCAGGCTTGTGTGCTCAATACCTGGTCCTGAAGGAGCAGACACACATTTCGATGAGCTGCGTAAGTTGAGTTATATTTAATGGTTTATTTTGACATTGTTTTGTTTTTTTTTTCTTATTTGTAGAAACACTATGCCTTGCTCTGATTACACTAATTTTCCAAACAGCGCACGCAATATTTCTCTTTTATCAGAAGTCCCTGAATACAACTGGAATTAATCTGATCACAAATATGGGGGTTTTCACTTTCAGTCCAAAAGCTGGAAGGTTACAAGTTGATTCTCTATAAAAAAAGACTATCTATAAATGGATAAACTTCAGGATATTAGCACAAATTCACACAAAAAGAATGAAAATTCAGATAAAATGGAAGCTTTTTTATATGTTTATAGATATCCAAATTATAAATGGTAAAAGTAGAAATGTTCAACGTATGTTTAATTAAAAAAACCAACAACAAACAAACCATTTTTCCCATTGCAGAAGATATATTCTTACTTTCTACAAGAGATGAGAGAAACCCACTTGTATATGGCGTCTTCACTACAACAAGGTATGAATTAAGACCGTGTTTGCATCTGAAAGCAAATGGTGAAGACTTAACAGGACTTTTATTAAACCCTTCTATTAATAGATCCTGATTCTTGAGATCAGTGAGAGACTGTTTGAATAAGGCTTGAAATATTGGGACTATAGTCACAAAGAATAATATTTTCAGAAGTGAAAATATAAATTATGCCCTTAAATCTTTGTGTGCCTGACTTTTGAGAATGATAGTCGAAAATAATGAAAATAGAGCAATTAAAAGCATGCTAGTTTGTTTCAGCCTCATCTAGTTAAATGTATAAATTTGTCATATTTATTAAGCAACAGATAGTTACTATTTAAGACAAATCATTGTTGTAAAGCATTATTTCTGAAAACAACAACTTGACATCAGGTGTTTCTTAGGATTAAAATCCACTGTTCTAAAGTGATATTTCAGTGTTTTTATGTACAGGAGCTGATGGAAGAATAACCCATCTTTAGGTCGTGGAGATAGATTAATTAATTAATGAACACTTCTGCTGTGATAGTGAGGTACTCTATACAGAATTGCTATAAAGGAAATAAATAATTATTTCTTCTGTCTCTAGAACATTTAAATTAAGTGTAAACAATAAGGACTAGCCAAACATTGAACATTATCAGTACAAAGAATTGCCGAGGCACTCCTTAACTCAGAAGCAGCCACTGCAGTGACTCCATAGAATATATAATCACATCAAATATTTAAAATGGAATGAAATGTTTCACAATGAATGGAAGGGCATATGAAGTAACTAAAGTACCTGTCACTCAAAAATATGGCACAGAGGTCTTTGAAAACGGAACTGTTTGAGGTTTTTTTGAGAAAAATACATTTAAAAAAGACAAATATATAGAAAAATAAATAAATATTTATTTCTATGACTTCTTATTGTTTGTCAAATACCACTTGTAATTCTCAGACACATCATCAGTAATATCACTAATATACAGACCTCCAGATGTGAACACAATGTAAAGGAATGTCCTTTGTTTGCAGAAAATTCTAATCAAAATAGCTAATAAATGATATCTGGATATAGCTAATAAATGATATCTGGAACCTCTCATCCACTAGAAAAAATGGCAGCCTAACAAGTGATCCCAAAAGTTAAGTCCAGATTTCAACTGAGCAAAGCTTTAAACTGTAATAACAGTGATATTAAGTATCTGTGGTTATCAGATCTGTCCACATTGCCTGTTATTTAGGACTATTTACATCAGCTTTCAGGTGTAGAACCGTCCAGATTCTGTGGAATTAATTAATTCAGTGGCTGAGTCATGAACTGAAGATGTGTTTACAATATACACGTCAATCTGTCTTCTTTTTTCAGCTCTGTCTTCAAGGGCTCTGCAGTTTGTGTGTACAGCATGGCAGATATCAGAGCCGTTTTCAATGGCCCTTACGCTCACAAAGAGAGTGTGGATCATCGATGGGTACAATATGAAGGTCGTATCCCGTATCCCAGACCTGGTACAGTAAGTGTCTCCTTAATTACATACTTCTATTTTTACTCAAAACCAATCATACTTCCCCCCCCCCCCCCCCCCCCCCCCCAGATTGGTAATTTATATTTTCCACTCAGGATGTTTCAAATTATCCTCTCCACACTTCCTCTTCTGTTGACAGCTCAGAAGTCTACCTACCCCTTATATGTTTAGATATATAAATATAGGTTTTTCCACATCTCTGAGATAACATTGTCTGCAGACTGTCTATTTCCTGATTGTCTCTCATATTGTGGTCTCCTACTGTACAGCTGTATTTCTATCTGTTGGGATCACCTCTAAGGCATCAACACTTCATAAAAAGCCAAAGACATTTCTTTATGGAGTATTAAGATATGATGAGGTATTTTATTTGAAGTCTTGTATTTCTGTTATCTTTGTGTCTGTAAATCCTGTTTCCTGAGATGTGGTCATTGATTCTGTTCTGTGCATGTGTAGTGTTTTGAAGTAAAGTAAGGAGTTAGTTGCTGGAGATTTTATATGATGAAAGATAAGTGATAGGAAGCAAAGAGAAGTTTCGTATCTAGAAACACTTCTGAATCCCAATCTCTTAGACTTCAGATGTAACAAATGAGCCAAAAGAGAGAAAAAATTTGAGAGGGTTATTAAAGAAACCTTCCCCCACTTCTATCTCAGTATTAAATTTAGAAAAGCACAGACCTACATTATAGCTGAGGGAGAAAATGATACTTAAAAAAAATACTTTTAATAAGTCATCAATTCTTTGAGCAACAATTCATACATAGAATGTAAAATGATTTAATGGTAAGATAGATATTACCTAGAATAGCTTTACATGAACTAGTGAACTAGTAGTAGGCAGCTGCATAAATCCTGGAAAGCACTGAGCTACTGACGTTGGACTGATACCCTGCCCAGAAGCCATCTGGATATTTCTGCACTGCTTCTTTGACATCAGCACTGGTGTCACCTTTCCTTCAAGCCAGATTATCTATCTAGCTTACTTAGCTCTTCTTTTCACACATTTCCTTGAGTCTCAGTGTTTTCTTCATCAGCCTTCCAATGAACCCAAGTCTACGGTCCAAGCCCATGCTTTTGCTGCATTTAGTGGTCCCAGGCTTCAACAGGTCAGGCCCTGAGCTCCAATTCCCTCCTCACAACTGCAGGTGAGTCGCAAAGAGCAGCTCTCTCTGCGAAGAGTAAGGCAGCTCCAGAGACTGACTTGACCCCCCTAGGATCTGCACTGCTGGACCAAATATGCTCCTAATTTAGACAATTTAGTCACTGTAGGCTTGTTCGTCTCTCACACAGAATATACAGTGCCTCCAGAAAAAAAGATTGCATTTAATTTTTATTACTTTTTAAGTATGTGCAACTCCATTACTGGTTAAGAAGTGCAGATATATTTAGTTTTAAGAACAAAAATTGTGTCAGTGAGAACAATAGCTGGTCCCATGGCACCTAAAGAGATTAAAATAACTCTTGAAAAACTCAGAGTGCCCTGTAAGGATGAACACGCTGCACAGATAGATGGATCATAAGCTCATTGCATTTTTGAGTGTATTAGCCATCACATGGTTGAGCTGGGATTCCCAAGGAAGGAAACATGTCATGCTGAAGCATGTGAATGCTGATCCTTATCATTGATTTAAATATTCAGGCTTGTATTTTAAAAGTTGGAAAGTTTAAAGATAAACAGATATTTCCATAAGCTGCCCCTTAACTTCTCTAACTGCTTCCTTTAAGCACCTGATAACAGCTATAAGAAAATGGTCTCATAAAAATCCTTAGGACTTTCGTATTCAAAGGATTTCTATAGGAGTTTATCTGACCAAAGACTGAAAAGGGAAGTAGATTTTACTGAAGAAATCTCTTAGAAGAAAAACATCTGCAGTATTTGCTATTTAGGTAAGGTCCATGTATTACTGCATAGTTATTTATCTTTTGTCTTAGAGAGCTGGACTACTCTGACTTCAGCATACTTCAGACTCAGTTTGAAATAGGGTGTTGTGAAAAGTAGACTTATGCCTTGCTCTCATCTTATAATGGGCTATGCCAAACCTCTGGATCATGAGCAGATTTAGGCTGGGATCTGAAAAAAGTAGCCCAATGCTTAAAGGCAAGAAAAAGCAGCAGCATGCTACGCCTTTGCAAAACTCTGCTGTGTGAATACTGGAATGCTCTTCATTATAGATTGATTTCATAATTTCTTGCCAGCTATGGGGTGGTTCAGGAATGCTCAGAACAAAGCCAAAGGAAAATCTATCTTTTTTGAAGTTACTAAAGCATTTTTGAAATTTAAGCTCCACCTACTTGGTGCCTGCAGTTAGCATAGCTAGCACTGCCTTGATTTTATATTTCTTATATTTTAAGTTACTGGCAAAGTCTAAAAACGGCTATACTAGGAAATGCAATTTCCTTGATGTTTGGCTTTGAGAGAGGCACTGACTTCCTTTCAGCATTTATACAGAAGCAGGAGACCACTTACCCTAATTTAACTTTCTGCTCAGCTGCCTTTATCTCCTAAGTAAATAAAGCTGTTCGCTATAGAGGCTGTGACCACTTTGATATTGAAATTTTGACAAAATGCTTCCTGTGGCAATTTGTGTGGAAGACAAACTCCCAACATGCCCATGATATCATGCCTTCGCAATGCCGAGCAGTGTGCAGGCAGCAGAAGCCTCTGCCTGCCCGGGGTCCCGGCGCTGCGGCGGGGTCTGCCTGCCCTCTGCAGTCCTGGGAAGACCCCTGACAGTGCTCCAGAGTGCTCCATGCCACTGATGCTGAAAAACGTATAGCTATTTTAGTCTAACTTCTCCCAGCGATATTAAAGAGCAAGTGGAAATAATGGAAAGTTAACAGAGGCAAGGTTTCAAATATATTTGAGTTTTGAAACTGAAAAAGAAGACAGAGAAAAAACAGAAGGCAGCTCTGGCACAAAGAGTGATCTGAAAACCAAGAGACCATTTGCTCGATCTTCTTTAGCTACTTAAAAGTTGGACTTGCGTATCTGCAGCTGTCCCCAGACAACAAATCCTGTTTTCTTCCAGTCTCTTAGGGTCTCACCCAGGAAATGATCCATTAATAAAGAAATCATCAAGGACTTTCTTTAAAGTGCATTCTGTATTCTGAAACAGGGTTTTCATAACACCCTCTCAGTAGTCACAGAAGGCATTTGAACAAGATTTTCAATGAATTAGGAGGAAAAACTATTTCTAGCCTATTTATTTAGCTGTTACCATTGCAGTAGCAGACTCACAGTACCCATTTGGAGATTCTGATGGGGTGCAAAGGAGTCATCCTCATTTCATTGATGGTGAGTAAATGTCATTAGAGGTTGGATTTTTAGAGGAATGTCGGTGTCTGTTTAAAGATGCAGATTAACACTTAATTAATATTAACACAGATCTACTGCAGAACATAGGACTCTAACAGATATGCAAGGCAACACCAAATATTTTTAATAGGTCTGAATATTTTACTAACTGATTTGCCAAAGATTCAAAATAGAGCTCTGGATCAGCTGAGGTTCTTGCAGTCTAAGCCACCTCTTAGGTATAAGAAGAAACAGCCCAGCACATTGCTTTTGTCCTTTTGAAGACTTTTATGTCTCAGCTCTGTCCACTCCAGATCTGAATGTGGCCCTGTGCTCCTGAATTCTTTGTGTATTCTTTTTAATACATGTTCCCTTGCAAGCCCTCAGATTCTCTTGTGATCTGTTTCATCTTTTTCTCTCTCTATTGCTTTTTCTTCCCATCTTCAGTGAAACCCTTTTCTTTATTTCTTCTGCTAATCCAGTGCACACACTGATTGAGATGTGGTGTTCGTCCCACTGGGACTTGGCTGAGCCACAGAGAATCGCTGTCTGCCAAAAAGCCTCCCCCTGTCCTCCCATCTGGTTAGTTTTGCTGCTTTATTAAGCGTGTTCATAAAACACTGAGGGTTACACAGGTTTCTCTTGTTATTTTTAGACTTATTTTCCTCTTTCACCTGATCTTCTATGGGATAAACTGCATTCTTTTCTTCTCCAATTCCTCTCTCCTTTGATCTCCCCACTGTAAATGAGGCTGCTTAATTAAGTGAAATGTTTCACTTTATGGGTTTATTTTCCTAAGAAAGCCTCCTCCGCCTCTTCTTACTTACCAACCTGTTTTCCCCAACATGAATCAGCTCTCAATTCATAGCAGCTTTTTGAACCGCTGCGAACCCCGTCACCTCTCCCTCTGGCAGAGTTGGGCAGAGAACTGCACAGTACCACCTGCAAAGTCAAGTGCGTACACCTCATGGTTTCAGCCCAGTTTGCCTCAGATTAATGCTCTTATGTCAGCCTTTTCTATCAACTGCACAGGTGTGTTAAATAGAAAAGCAATTCAAAGTGCTCAAGACAAACACTGGAACAGAGTAAAACAAATTTTGCGTATCAAGTGGGATGCAAACTCTATTTGAAAAAAAATAAGGACTTCAATTTATTTGTAGGGATTTTTTCTTGGTTTTCTTTGGGCTTTTTGTGACAGGGGTGGAGTGAGGTTGATTCCATTTAAAATTTGTGCTGTTTGCTTTTCTCCTGCAGAACCTGACTCATTCCTCTCTCCCCTGCCCTCTTCCAGGCTTTCTCTGAGTAGCTGCAAGGTTAGCATGAAAGGCTCCTTGATGAGTGTCCAGTCCTTCTGGCACAACCCATCCATCCTGTAGAGAAGCACTAAGGCTTTTTGCAGGCTTTTCCATATGTAAAATGCATTGTGTAGATCTGATCATGCTACAGAGAAGGAGCTACATGGTATCTAGGCAACTCAGGAACCCAGATTCATTTTCAGAATGGCTTATGGTTAAATCTCCAATGGCACATAAGTGCTTACACTCTAAAAGTCATCTTTCGACTGCCATCAACAGTCCACAGAAGATCATAAACCTATAATTAACCATTTTTAAAGTACTTTTGGGCATCTTGAAAGTTCAAACCAGTCCTCAGGTTTCATCGAAACTCCTCATGACTCAGACTTTGCATTCTT